TAATTTATATGATTTCATGGCTTGAGAGAAAATAGGATAACGGTAAATTAATTTAATATTTTAAAATCTTTGTAACTTTGCGAAAATAAAAATTGTCCGTCTACTTATAAAATTATGCGACTATGAGGCTTTTAAGGAATAAAACCAGATTGTTGTTTATTTATCAACTTTTTTCAATCTCTTAATAAATAATCAAAGTTATTTTTTGCTCAATTTCTCTGCAAATTAAAAATTTCACGCATTTTTGCACATAAGTTCTCATTATTTGTGCAAGCTAGTACTTAATTTGGCAAAGCAGTGAATTTATTTCAAAATAAAATGCAAAATTGTGTGAAATTTTAAAATTTCAGATAAACATTTCAAAAAATCGCTCCTGAAAGTTTCCCTTCAAAAAGAGATTTCGATTATTTATTTGAGTTTCTTAAAAAAAGTTCAGAATCTAAACTGACATTGGCCTGATTCTCTTCGCAACCCTTTGCTGCTCTTTGTTGCGTCGGCTCAGAAAAAAAGCGTTTCCACTTTGCTGTTGGCAAGCAGCAGCCGAGCTCCGTTTTTTATTGTATTTCTCCTCCAGCTAGGGTATTTTGATAGGAAACACAAATAGAATGCGGCAGCACCCACGCCGCCTCCTTTTCACACTTAGAACGCAGCATGTCATTATACAATACCCTTTTAAAACAACCCTTTCCCCTCATAATGACCGTGTAATTCCGTTCAAGCTTTTTGATAAAGATAAAATAAACAACCACGTTATTTTTTCCCGAAACAATTTCCCTCGACCGCGACGGACAGGTAGCTAGAAAAGGGGAGGAATTTTTATACATACACACGAATTCGTTCTTGGAAGAGAAGCGAAGTGGAAATTGACATCTAGGCATATAATAATAAAAAATGAAAAGCATTATCCCGAGATAGAAGGAATTCTACTCTGTGATGATGGGTCGTAAATATCGACGAGTCTCATGTCTAGACTCTCGGTGGAAAGCTTTTTGATTTATCCCCGCGCGCGGATTAAACCGCAGCTTTGGCACAAATTGCGCCCGGACTAGAGAAGAAACAAAACAAACAAAATGATGTCGTTACGGCCTATTGATGACGATGACGGCCGTATCATCCATAGTGAAAAATCGAGACGCCTTTATTGCAAAAAGTCAAATAATGGAAGGCATGGGTTGTAAATCCGCCTAGGATTATATCAATATTTTTATATCGAGTAACATTTTGGAATTTCCTAGTTGCGAATTTTTTGTTTATTAATCCATTACTGAGGCACTCACTGCACTTAGCAAGATGTAATAAAATTCTTAAGTAACTTGTACTTAAAGTTTTGAATAATAATTATTAAAACCTCTCCATAATTAATATATGTTAACAATTATCTTAAATAAAACTTAATTAATGCGGATATTAAAAATTTTTATGTGCACACAGATTTTTCAACTTTAACGTTATTTTAAGTGGATTAAAACAGCTTTTAAGTGGACTGGCAGTTAGTAAGCCTGAAAAAAATCGACTTGAAAAATTCTTTCACCAGCAACATCAATTTAAAATCGTCTTAATCCAATGTAAGAAGGTTCCTGATGAATTGTGCTCCACTTCATCTTTATAACTAAGAATCGAATCAGACTTCAGTTATTTTTTTATTGGATTTTTTACAACTTTTAATTGGCGGTGTTAAAAGTTATCAAAGAGCTGACAAATCTTCTTCACATCAATCACGTACAGAGCAACAGTGTTGTTGCTTTGATTGACATTGTACCGCAGCAAAAAGCTGCAATTTGCCGATCTCATCCCTTGCCCTTATCGTAATTCGGGACGAAAGAGGCGCCACTCCATCATCCTATCTGCGAGGGTCATCTCTATAATATCATTTCGACTCGCGCGGTACGAACTTTGAACTCGGCAGGCGACAAATTTTACGTGTGTCTATATCGAAAATGACAATGATTGTGTTTGGAGACGATGTGTGTGGCCCTCTCTGGAAATTTATTACCCATTTTTCGTCGTCCCGGCGATATAATGACGTGGAATTCCGCGTTCTCCCCAAGGCTGCCCGCGACATTTAAAATGCATTAAATTTTAAAACCTCTCGATAAAAAGCTTTTGCATTAATACTCATATCTCGCAATTTATTCTTAAAGTATATGTACATTTTTTATAAAGTGTAACTTTCTTATCAGCGTAATTAGTAAACGGTGCAGAATTTTCGACTAATGAAAACAGAGCGCGGTGAATGAATTTGCCAAAAGTCCATCAATCACCCGAAAGTCAATTAAAAATATATGCTTCTTCTTGTTGTTGTGAATGGAATGGGAAATCGTGACAGCGATAATAAAAAAATATACGGGCGGCTGCACCAAGCGAGAGAAAAGAAAGGAAGAGCGAGATGTTGAATTAAAATAATTTGTTGGCCTGCCCCGTAATGTTTGCTCGGTCGTTCAGAATGAGACTTGGGCAGATTATCAAAGAGAGGTGCAAAAATAGCATAACAGATACAGAAAGTAAAATATTTATTTTGATCAAAGATCAAACTATTATTTCAAATGAGTTATAATTAAAAACAGAAGATTTCAGTTGGTCAAACTTAAGAAAAAAATTAGAGAGGAGAAAAGTTTTGACAAATAGAGTAAAATCAGGAATTCATTTGATAGGAAAAGCAGAAGAAGCTCCAATGAACTCGTGGATCTAAAAGGTTGCGAATATTATTTTCCGCAATTTCTTTTTCCACTCTTGAAATTTTATCCAATTTAATTTACAAAAATTGGCCCTTTAAAATTACAGGCTCATTTTACAAATTAAAATCAATTCTAATATTTAAAAATTTGTGATTTTCAATAGACTCTTTATAAACAACTTATAAGTCAAAGTCAAAATATACATCTCACGAAGTTTTCAATGGGCTGCCGTGACTAACTGAAATTGCAGTGTTGAATAGTCCTCGTTATACATTGCGCGCGGTGATCTTTGTGCCTCTCTTCTCGCCTCCTTATCACATCTCATTCAGAATTATTTCACGCTCGGCCGGCCGCCCATTATAAATCACTGCGTATACATTCTCGAAAATCATCCCTCAGCGAACACAATCTGCAGCCTTTTTCTGCTGATTGATCGGCCCTGCCGCGCAATGAGCCAACAATGAGAAGGGGTTCATCGACCTCTGCCCATTCCATTTATTTGTTTCGCAGTCAATATTGTGAGATATCTGGACGTGATCAGATCCTTTAATTCCCGCAGCAGCATTAATGCACTCGAGACCTGTGGGTTGTGAATCTCGCCTGGGTCCGGATTCGCAGTTTCTCTTTCTTAACTCAATTATGTATCGAGTGTCGCGTCGAGTAATTGAATTACAAACCATTGCTTCAAAATGCCACGGAGATCATTTTTCTTCAGTACTAATTTGAGTCGATTGTGCGCGGGAGGTGATTGATGACGTACGCTTAGGTGCGCCATTGTTTCTACAAATTGATTGATTTCCGTTTGAAATGTATAAATGGTAGTTTACGAGTCGCTTTTTATTTGCTCATCAATTTTACATCAAATAAAGATTTATTGTTCTTTCAAAACATGATGTTAGTTGGTTGTGAGAATATTTTTTGCATAACAAACTTTTGTGTGTTGGGGATAATTTTCTAATTTGCAACTAATTTTCAATGACTTATCATAAAAAGATTATTTTTTTTGGAATTTGTCGAGGTTTTCAAATTTTTATCTTCCAAATTGTTCTAAATTTAAATTTAATTATTATCGTATTCTTTCCAACGCCTCAATAATTTGATTTCCAATTTTTTTTACTTCATTTGCAACAAAAAAATTTCATGTTTGGATTTTAAGTACAATCTATACTTTTTTAATTTAATTAATTTCTGTTCTTTTATTATCTGGTGTATTCAATCATTTGAATAGTTGCCAATATTCTCAATCAATTCAAACCGATCAAGTGGAAAGCTTAACCCTTTCAACACCTAATCCGAAACTCTTGTGACATTGAAGAGATGAATCACCTAAACCACCTTAGATCGTCGACCCGGCTAAACTTTTGAAAACAAACCGGTGCCTGTTCTTTTCCAATCTTCTGTAATCCCACGGGTGTAAATCCGTGCCCGGACGACGCTGGAATTAGAACAATGGCTGTTGTAAAATAAATAGGGACAAGTTTTTTAGCCGCCGCGTCCATGTTTGGGTGTACGTAACTTACTACACACATTGTGCAGTGCCTCGTTTTTTTCAATACGCATACATATAAGATCGAATATTCCCTGTTTTAATTCGAATATATAATTTTATTTGAACGCACCTTGTTAAAGCCTCCCGCGCTCGAATGATGAATCCGCGATTATTTTTGCAAGCGGCCGGCCGCGCCTGGTTTATTAGGCTACTCTATTATAAAATAGGACGCGTGCAGACGGCCCGATATTATGTTAGCCTGTTTATTTACCTTCGAATCTGGGCTGATGTGCGAAAAGTAGGGGAGACGCAAAATTGGGGCTGAGATGCGGCGCGCGTGTCATCAGCCAAACAGTCAAATCAGCTGTTCTTAAAGAGCGATCATCAATCCTGCAAAAAATTCACTGAAATTTCAGCGTTGAAAAATGTTAACTTGAATTCAATAATTTCAAAATTACATAATTATGCAGGATATTAATAATAAAATTTGTATTCTTTGTTACATAAGCACAATTCTTACAATTAATAGATAAAAAGTCTTATTAATTAGATGAATCTCAATCAAAAAACAAATAAATAAATAAAATGATTTGAAAATTACTAGAGATTCTTGTAGTTGTAATTGTTGATAGTGAAAACACCCTAAATTAAGTGAAAAAAATGCATATTTTATAAAATTTAATTTTGTCCTTAGTAATAATTTTTATCTTTAATTTGACATGAGTAGTATAAAAAGAGAAAAAAATGTAATGGAATTTGATTTAAAAATTAAATTTATTTAAATTAAAATGACTAATTACTGAAAATTTAAATTTTTGTTGTGATTGTTGTTTCAGTTCGGCAGAACAAAAGTCGCAAGCTGAGCGTGAACACGGAGCAGTACGAGGCCAAAAAGCAGCTGGCCTATTTCATCCCAACTAAACTGCCGTCCAAAGTCCCCCTGCACGAGCACGACGTCCTTTACGGGCAGGACGAGTTGTGGAGGAAGGCCGGCAAGCAGCATGTGCAGCTGCCCAAGGCCTTTGGCAAGAAGCAGCCCTTCGGCCACTTCATCCACAAGGACGACGAGCTTTGGGACCCCACACCACAAGTGAGTGCTTCAAAATTTATCTTTTATTTCGTTTTGTTAAATAATTCACTGTGACAATGCTTTTCAAATTGTGACGTTTTGATTCAAAGTTTCTCGGGGATATTTCTTTATAAATAGCCGTTTTAAGAGAAAACTTCGGACTGTTTTCTCCTTTTTAGAAGCAGAATTAAAAAATTTGTAGTTGTTTTTAATTGATAATAGCAAACATTGGTACAATTTTCATTGAAAACTTCAACGAAGTGATTTTTGTTAAGAAAAATTTATTTAAAAAATCTGTTTTGAAAGTCAAAAAAATTTTAGTTGCAAATTGTGTTTATTGATCTATCACAAAGGCAAAATTTTAAACAAATTATTTTAAATTTTGCCACCAATTTTTTATTTTTACTTTCTTAATAGTGAATAAATAGTAACTTGCAAAAAAGATACTTTACCAGTTTATTTAGCCGGTTTTTCTTATCACTATGGCTATTAGTTGGGCGTTTTTCCTACAGCTGCTTGGCTTAGTTCACTTTTAGTGCTCGAGTTACTGTGTTTTTGTGCTGCCTCAAGAAGTGTAGTCTGGATTATACTAGATAATATGTTCCTTCAAATTAAATATTTGTTTCTATTTATTTGTCTCAACTTTTTGCAGTACGAATTCAATGCCTTCGGTCATCACTTCCACCTCGAACTGAAGCTTGATGCGTCGGCGTCGTCGGCCACGCAGACCCTGCGGGCGCACCACGTTTTCAGGAACCACTCGCACGTGCTGCCCATCCACAAGGACGCGAGCCGGTGTTTCTACTCGGGGAAGGTGCTCGGCGACGCCAGCTCGCGGGTCAACCTCAACCTTTGCCATGGAATGGTGAGTACAGACAAAAAAATACCTGAACCTTAAATTGTTTGATAGGAAACTGCCTGTTCTATACCAAAAAATAATTAGTGTGGTTGAAAATTCCACATAATTTAAATTAAAATATGACGAGTTGGGATGATTATATTAGAATATAATAATTAATTAAATTAAACTGGAAACTGGAATACAAATTTCAATTGGAAGAAAAAGTGAATCGTTTCATTTATGAGGATTTTCAATAATATTGCTTTTTGAAGACTTTTTTGATCATTTAGTTTTGAAAAGTAACTAAAATTTGAAAAAAAAGTTTGAATTTTAATTTTCGTCTATAAATAGATTCACCTTTATGAGATTTCAAGCCCAGGTTGCAATAACAAAAATTTTCTTTTGAAGTTTCGGCCTGTTTATTTTTTGCGAATCGATTTTCTCAGCACTCTCTGGAAGTTGAGTGAGAGGAATTGCGCGCAGGTGAAAGAGACAGTTTGGACAAAGAAAAAATCAAAGTGGCAGGCAGACTATGTGTGAGTACGGAGGAGCCACGTGTGCATCGTCCAGCGAGGCAGACGGCATTAATCACCTCGAAATTTGTTGCTTTTGGGAAAGCCCAGCCCGAACGGCGGCTGCAGAAGGGGTGAATCACTTAGACTCGGCGGGTTTGATTTGGCTGCTGGACGTGACGCCGACTGTAAACAAACGCGCGCCGCCTGACCTCCTTCGAGCAATACGCGAAAATAAGAGAAGAGCGTAAATTACAAACAATATTCCGCCGCCGCTCTTTATCTCGCTATATTTACGCTGCACCTCTGCAGAGCGTTGCACTCTCTAATTACCGTGCGACTGTGCTCTGAAGAAGAGCTAATCTCGTTTTCATGCAGTCAGCACTGTGTTCTCAACTTACTTAAAGAGAAGAGCTAAATTTTTAAGGACAAAAAACTTCAATTTCATTTATTTGAAAATTATTGTTATAGATAAGTTTGTGATAAAAAATATATATACTATATTTAGAGAGAAAATTAATTTTATTGGACAAATTTAAATATTAATTATAACAAGTGAAATAAAATTCTATCGGAATTAACATTTTTAAATTGTCAAATGAAATCGTGGGAAAAATGGAAGACTTTAGGATTTACACACTGCTTTTGGCATCAAGTTTTAAAGAAGTTTTTTTTTTTAAATAGTAAATTTATGGTAAATATTTTTGAAGAAAAGGGTTATTAAAATTGGCGGAATGATTTGTCCAAAAAAGGAGAATAATTAATTTTCTTCTTTTTTTCCAAAAATTTGAAATTGAAAATAAATCATTTTTAAATTGAAGTTTCTTCAATGCACGATTGAATAAATTTATTATTATCATGTCTCTGTCAAGAGTTATTTGCGTCGACACATATTCTGCGTGTTCAAAGACACAAACGCATCACAGAAGGGTGATAACCTTAACCTCTGGCCGCGTGTAGTGTAATAATAATTAAACCGCCTCGATTTCAGTCCAGATACTTATTGCAAGTGATGAAACGGCAGAACGAGAGAAACTTTTCTTGCAATTTAAATTTCAAATATTTCTGACTTGGAAAATCGTAAACAGATTATGATATCAGATGATTGTGCATAATTTTATAGGGATGATTCAAGAAACAGTCACCAAATTTGGTTTAAATCTACCCCCTGTATGCTTTTTATTTTTCAAAAGTTATTCCCACTCTTCTAACATGAGGTGCAAAATTGTGAATATCTGATAATTTATTGATTATAAAAATTAAAATTAAGGAACACGACATAAATTAATAAAATCTTATATTCTTTCCACGTTTTTACGCTAATTGAAGATTCAGTCCATCCCATTTACTTTAGAATGTTGTTTGGCGTGCTGAATAATTTAAAGACATTAAAATTTAGGGGTGAATTTTAGCAAACTATTATTTTTTTTTTTCAACATTAATCTAAATCAAATCCGCTAATTCATGCAAATTTGATATAAATTACAATTTGGTTTTTCAAGACGGATGCGATATATTTTTTCCTTCAGTGGGAATATGAGAAGGAAACGTCAGACTAATAGGATTTCTTTTTAATAACTGATAATTGATTTAAACCTTCAAATACCACTCCCTGCTTTAGTTTTTTCTTGGTGCACCTGAAACCGAATCGGATCTCTTTGAATCTCGCTTAGCGTCCATCATGCCTGTCGTGATTAGAGAGGAGCAAACAAGTTTCTGCTCTCTTATACTCTGTCCAATTTTAAATTTTTTTTTGTCGCTGTCCCTTTCTCAAATTGAAATGTATACCTTTTGCAGATTTTACTGCTCTCTCCAAATTAAAGCGAATTACCTTATCTGCCGCGCTTGTGTCCATTAAATACCAAAGTCGGCGGTATCAATCTTCTGACTCGATTTTATTTTATTACACTCGATATCAAACGCCGCCAAACCGCCTTGAAAAAATCCGGCTGAACAGAATGAGAGAGACGGCGCAATCGATTCCCATCCTATAAATATTTATATCATTTCAATCTCATTATATACGTCCTGCAGCAATGCGAGAGCAACTTAATTTAAAAGTCGTTGACCGAAATGTTTCAATTTCCGCCATGTCTGGCTCGTAAAAAGTCTTCTCAATCGCTGGTAAACTTTCAAAGTCTATACTTTAATTCTTAACTTTTAGGAAATTTCAAAGAATAATTCATTATGATGGGAATTTTTAATGAATAATTTTTTATTTTAGTTCGAAAAATTAAATTATTTTGGCAATAAATCATCAAACATTTATGAAAAACTATTCAAAGTATTTTTCCCCACATTAATTTGGTATTTTGAAGGTTGGGAAGGTTTTTTTAAATTTAAGAAAATTTGAATTAAAAATTGAAAAATTATTTTATCACAAACGTTCACACAGTTTGTGAAGAATTATTGAATTTATTTTAAAATTGAGCGAGTTGAATTTGAAGCTTGTGTGCAAAATCGGCGCGTCGTCTGGCCGCTCTTAAAGTTCACGCAGTGCTCCATATAAAAAGTTTAAAAATACACCAGTGCAGCAGAGAAGCGAGAGCGACCGTCCAATTCATTAAAGAGCCATTAGGTCTGCGTGAATTTTTTGTTTTCAGTTTATTTCTATTTTGTTTTCGGGGTGGCTGCGATAAATCAACGCGCGTTTTCGCTCTCTATTTTTCTTTTTTTATTGCCGCGGTGACCTTTGCAGACAACACTATTTGGACAATGGGCAGATTTATCTTGATCCGCGCAAACAAAGCGGAATCTGACACTTGGAGTTAAAAAAAAAAAACGCCAGACAAATTCTGTGACAGATTTTTTTTTTTTGTAAAAACAAACAGTAATACATATAAAAATAAAAATATGCATTTTATTTGGCACTGTACAAATTATAAAATATTTGAATTCAAAGTAAATAAAAATTTATTTTCAAACAGGTGCTGCTTAGTTTTAAAATATGTCTCATTCTTCTTCTCACTCTTGGCCAGAAATAAAGGAATGCAGCTCGCCGAGTAGCATTTGCATGAGATAAATTAAAATGCACCGAGCTGCGGCACTCGGGCCCATTTGTTATTTGGAAGAGAACGAGTTGACACAGGTCTCGTCGCGCAATCCATTTTCTCTCTTTATATTCAAAGCAGATTATTTGAATAACGCCAAGTCGTTACGAGTGACAATTGCTCTCCGCTTTAATTAACTTTTGTTTCCGATCCGATGCGTGTTTTGATATCTTGTCTTAATTAATGACTCCAAACGTCACCGGCCCCATTTGGAGTAAATTGTCCAAAGATTTTTTTGAGCAGCTGCTTTTAATTTGGCATTGATTTATTTTTATTCGTTAACATCAAAAAGAAAACAGAGTTAAACTCTCAAATTTATATTAGCGATTAATGCCAAAATTTGGCTCTAAAAATAGCAAAATTGAAAGTCTAAGATTTTATTAAATAATATTCAAATTAAGCATTTTTTAAATTAGTTAAAATTATTTCTTTGTTCACAAATTTTACAACAAATTAAGCTTTGAAATTTAAGTATAGGTTTACAAATCAGATCTTTGATCTTCCAAAACAATTTAAAAATACACATATGATCCAAAGTTTGATATTCATTTGGCAGACTAAAGAGAAAACTGTGGAATAAATCATATTTAAAAGTAATTGGATCAAAATTAATCCTTTTTCATAGATTAATAAATTAGAAGTAGACTTTCGCAAAATTTTTTCGATATCGATATATCGATATGATATATCGGTTATTTCATATCGATTCCGATATATATCGGTTTTAACGGAAAAACCGGTAAAAATATCGCGATATATCGGTTTTTTTCATATCGATATGAAATATCGATATATTTTGCGAGAGTCTAATTAGAAGTCTGTCTTATTTATTTACCTTGATTTTGAATCGCAATATTTGCAAACTTGTGGATAAAAAATGAAGATTCTGGATATGGTACAGTGCCCTAAACATTTGGAGTTTCCAAGGTTGGTCGTTCGCAAAAAGCAGACGTCCCTCTTTCTCTCTCGTCCGAGAGCACAATTTAAAAATAATATTTCTCTTTCCGCCATCTCTCCGCGCTTTGATGTCCGGCGAATCTGTTTGGTGTATATCTTATCTGGGAGGCGCGGCAACGGGGAACGAAAGAAAACAAAAGTCGCCGAGTCCAATTTGTTGCAAGGCTTGAGCTCTAGTGCACCCCGAATGAAAGAAGAAAAAAGACGAGCAGGCACGGACTGGTCGCCGACGGCCAACGACCGCGCAAACCAAAGGTCAGATGAGCATGCAAGACCAAGTCAGTGCCAATTTTCGCTCTCTTGGCAGCGACAAGCCTCTTTTATATAATATCTGCACCGACTGTAACTTTATTAAAGCAGGTTGATTTTGATCTCAAAGTCAAGGCTGAAGCGAGTTAAGATTTCAATTTGAATTTTTGGAATTTTTATTCAATTTAAAGCTTTAAAGGATTGATTAAAAAAATATATATATTTCAAAGTTCATTAATTCAATTTTTTGCATGAA